GGTGCGCCTGGAGGCTCCCTTTCTTTCTTCGCTGTGAATTCTCTAGGTGATTGGTCACATTCTTTGATTCTCGTATCCCGGCTGGGATTTGGGCTTTGGAGTGACTTTTCGAGCATCCTGAGATCCTCCGCCCCTTCCGCGCCTGCAATAAGTTGGGTGTGCGGCACCAAGTCGACTTGTATTCAGAGGTCAATCATCACTGTATGGCCGCTTCATATCTCTGAGCTAGTTGTGAAGCGACTTTTGAAGATGGCACTCGTTGGCCTAAGTACATTTAATCACATATTCCTCTGACCCAGGATGCCATATCGACTGGCTCGCAAAATTGTGAGCACAGTATGCCCGAACTCTGTGTACAGCAGTTGGCCTTGCAATGTCCTGCGGCCATAGGGCAGGAATTCACCAATATTTTCCGATTTTTCGCCTCGGTCGCTGGTTGCTGAGCCAAATGCTTCGAGGTTTGCTCCTCAGTGTGACTCGCATGACTGGAGCCCATGGGAGGCAAACACAAGCGACCACTTCCGAGCGCTATGTGGCTATTTTGCCATTTGCGAGCAATTCCCACATCGCAGCTGCTTTCTGGCTTCTGAGATGGAAAACGCCTTCCATGGAAAACGTGGTGCAAAACCTCCTTTTGGGTTTCAAGGTCGACAAAGCAACAAATTCGCAATCTCAAGAAGCCATGAACTTGATCTATTAATTACAATGATCGAACTGCACACGCCCGTTGCTGCAAGGTTTCAATGCCCAGATGAGTGTGTGCACAAGAATAGATGGCACCTCGCAGCCACACCTGGATGCTATAGTGTTGCATGCAAAGAACTCTCCTAACATCCCCTGAGTTTCCCATGAGGTGAACACATGTATTAATGCAATGCGGCACTTGCTTGAGCGAGGCCTCCCTTTTCCCGCCTAGGCGGCATACAGCACACGCTTCAGAAGACAATGTGAGTTTCTCAGGCAAAAATAGTATCCAGATGTTGGCTGCACTGCGGCGCTCACTTGGGGCGGTGTGCATGCATCTGCAGCAGAGTCAGTTTTTGGGCGAGCAGCAACACTCGCCCGTAGTTCTTTGCTCCTCCCGGCAGGGTAGGCAACTCTTGGCATGACTGGTTCATCCAGACAGACAAGTGCGCAGACTGGAACTCCACTCGGCAGTTTTGCATGTTTTGGCATTGCTGAACTTTCCTACAGTTATTGTTTGTCAAAATCCCAGTACACAATCCGTGATGTGATGGCAAACCCCATCGTGGAAAGTGAGTTTGGCCGCAGTTGGACAGGGAAGGGTGTGGTGGTCTTTATTACAATCGTGTACATTTCGTGTTGGAGGGTGTTCAAGGGTTTGTACTTAAATGTGGCACTCCATTCTAGCATTCCAACGAGACCTTAAGCTGTCAAGTGGCACTGACTCCTGCATGCATAGCTTGGACAGACTTGCAGAGAGGCACTAAACGGGTTCCAAAAAATGGGTTCCAGCTTAGACCAAAGGGCAATCATGTAGCATCTTAGAGTGTCCCATACAAACAAGACACACCCATTTCTTAGAACCGCGTAGCCAGGTCCTGGAAGTTTTGGTCGCCTCCGGCGATCAAGCGCCACACGCGACGCTGGTTCGACGGGCCACTAGGTGCAAATAGCAATTGACCAAACGTTTTTCTTTTGAGGGTGCCCCTTGTTTTCGTGTTTTTCAAGAGAGATCAAGTGGAAAGCCATTTTGGGCCATCCCCCCAAAAAGACAAACCCAAATGCCAAATGCTGAAGCCATGTTTGCTTCCCACCAGATTGAAGGACCGTTGACATGCAAATACCTGTGGCTTTCGGCCTTGCATTTGCGACTGAAATCTGGAAACGCGGACAGTGAAGCCAGGGCTAGGGGCCGGCCAGAACAAAGTCAGACGGCAACAAAGACAGCGACAGAGTGTCAGGCGCAGGTACAGCAGCATCAAAGTGCCAGGCAGACAGGGCTACAGATGGGACACAAACAGGTCAAAATCGGGCAGGTGGTTGGAGCCAGGCCGACGGGCATGTGAACAAAAACGTGGCACGGTAGGACATTCGTTGGGACCGGAGAGGCCTTCACCGAAGCTGGGTCCCCCGACACCGCTTTCTGAGGCAGTGGCTGGCTCCGGCAATGAGGCAGGAGTTGGGTTGGCTCAGCTCGCCCCACTCCTTGCGGCTGGCCTCGTTGTTTTTTCTTGCTGGTGCTCAGTAGGGAAGGAGAAATGAGAATGACCCCAAGAAAACCCATCCAACTGGTGGTTTCCTTTAAGGGTACCCCCCAGGTTCATTCCCTCATTCCCTACTGAGCACCAGCAAGTTTTGTTTGCCCCCCTTTTAGGGTTGGTGGTCGGCCCTTCGTTTCTGGCTTTTGGTGTTTTTCTTTCTCGGCCAGCTTGGATTGAAATACCGCTGGGACCCAGCTTTCGTCTTGTGCATTTTAGAAGCCATGTTGACGCGTGGCCACCCCAAGCAAGCAAGATGAGACACTAGGCAGGATCCCTCAGCAAGCACCCTCGCCAGATTCGACCGCCTCGGGCGGCGGAGAAAGTCGAAACCCTGATGCGGGATGTGGAGAAGTGGAGTTTGGAGCTGCAGCGAAAGAATGCGGAGGACGGGGCTGAAACTGTGCGAAGTATTTCGCAAAAGCACAGGGGACGAACTACTTAAGTGCATTAGCTTTTGTGTGGTCGGTTCACATCCAACAGAGCGACAAACTATGCAGCCACAAATATGCGTGCTTCGGTGCTCATGGTGCTCCCAACATGCATTGAAGCCACCAGCAGCGCATGGAATCCATTGGCCTGGTTACATCTTGTGACTGCAACTTCTCCTGGGCTTGCACCATGATGCTCTTCACTGGAATGACTGAGGCATTTAGTTTGTGAACTGACTTGCTGAGGTAAAGAAATGAGAGAGTATTTGCAAATCTGACAACGCGGTTGCCGAATTCCCTTCATGCAACAACCTGTCCGCCCATGGCAAACATCAGCTAAGAGCGATGACGCAGTGGATTCCGACCTTCTTTGGAAACCATCGCCCGAAAGGACTGGAATCAGTGCAGTTCTGTCTTGGCTTTGGCCTTAGTTTGCAGCTCGTGACGTTTGACACGGCTTGAATTTTGAACATTTCGCATTGAGTGCAGAGGGTTGGCAGCACAGCTTTGACCCCGTCTGAATCAAAGATGAGGGCTCCGATTCTAACGGTCCTGTGTCCTGCATGTGTTGGCCATGCTTTTCCTAGTTGATAGGCATGATGCTTAAGAAATGCATGCGCTTGTTCCGGCTACAATACTATTGGTCATAAGCCATCTATGATACCAGTAGAGCCGTAAGCCGGTGGGCAGAAGTTTCAACATATAAACACTATAGTTCTCTTTCCCTTTCTTTTCTTGATTATGTTTTCTCTTCTTCTTCCTTTTCACGGTTTCTCTTTGTTCCGTAATTCTGTCTTCTTCCTTCCTTTATTTATTTCTTTCTTTCTTTCTTTCTGTCCTTCCTTCCTCTCTTCTTTCCTTCCTCTTTTCTTTCTTTCTGTCTTTCTTTCTTTCGATTTGCCTGTTGTTTCTTTTTGTGTTCTTTCTTCTCTATCTGTCCATCTCTCTCTCTTTGTGTCTATCTATCTCTCTTTGTAACCATCGATCTCTCTTTGTATCTATCTACCTATCTGTCTATCTATATTTCTATCAATATATCTATCTATCTATCTGTCTGTCTATCTATGTATCTCTCTATCTCTCTATCTATCTATCTATCGATCTATCTATCGATCTATCGATCTATCTATCGATCTATCTATCTATCTATCTATCTATCTATCTATCTATCTATCTATCTATCTATCTATCTATATTTTGTTTTATTGTATGTCCTTGTTTCTTTCTTTATTTATTTCTTTCGTTCTTTCTTTCTTTATTTCTTTCTTTCTTTCTTTATTTCTTTATATCTTTCTTTCTTTCTTTCTTTCTTTCTTTCTTTCTTTATTTATTTCTTTCTTTCTTTCTTTCTTTCTTTCTTTCTTTCTTTTTTTTCTCTATCTATCTACCTATCTATCTCTGTCTTTTTTTCTATCTATCTATCTATCTATCTACCCATCTATCTATCTATCTATCTATCTATCTATCTATCTATCTATCTATCTATCTATCTATCTATCTATTTCTCTATGTATCTATGCATGTATTTATCTATCTGTCTATCTACCTCTCTATCTATCTCTTTCTATACCTATCTATCTTTCTATCTATCTCTCTCTCTCTGTCTATCTATCTCTATCTATCTCTCTACATTTCTATCTATCTATCTCTCTATCTATCGATATATCTGTCTATCGATCTATCTATCTGTCTATCTTCTTATCTCTCTATCTCTCCCCGAACGTGCGAAAGTGCTGCCCCTGCCACGAAATCTGCACTTGATCTTGCGAAACTGCTGCGCCTGCCACACAATCTGCACTTGACCTTGCGAAAGTGCTGCGCCTGCCACAAAATCTGTACTTGACCTTGCGAAAGTGCTGCGCCTGCTGCACTGGACCTTGCGAAAGTGTTACCCCTGCCACGAAATCTGCACTTGACCTTGCGAAAGTGCTGTGCCTGCCAAGAAATGTGTACTTGTCCTTGCGAAAGTGCTGCGCCTGCCACAAAATCTGCACTTGACCTTTCGAAAGTGCTGCGCTTGCCACGAAATCTGTACTTGACCTTGCGAAAGTGCTGCGCTTGCCACGAAATCTGTACTTGACTTTGCGAAAGTGCTGCGCCTGCCATGACGAAATCTGCACCTGACCTCGCGAAAGTGCTGCGCTTACCACGCTATTCAAACCTCAAGAAAACGACCTTGCGAAAGTGACGCGCCTGCCACGAAATCTGCGCCCGACCTTGCCAAAACGCTGCGCCTGCCATGCAATTCAGACCTTGCGAAACTTTCGCGTTGCCGTGCCAATGGGCCCACGCTCCGAGAGTGGTCCGAACGTGGTCCGAGACTGGTCCGACCAGGCGCCGCGAACAG